AGGAACAAATCCCAGAATGCATTTGTAGAATTTGCCTATAAATCTAAAATGATTTTTTTAACAGTCAATCATACAGTGACTGGAACCAAAACATAACCCACTCAATTAAAAATGGAGGAGTACATTCAATACACTTCCTATATCCTCTGTCTATGGCAGGGGTCAGCAAACTATGGCACGCATGACATATATGGTACGTCAAGCAATTTCCAATGGCATGCAGCCACAAATGACATCACAACGTATGAAGCAATAACTACTAGAATGCAAAGAAAATATTTATCTGTTTCAATTTTAATATATACTAAAGTATTACAATATATAAAATATATTGCAGAACAGGTATATTGTCCTTGACTCGTACAAAAATATGTATGCTGTTGGCACACTGTTAGCAAAAAATTGCTGATCCCTGCTCAAGCAATAAAGTCAGATAAAGAAGATACAATATTTACTAATGTTTTTGGATGTTCATTCTCTTTATTTCTTTTTGTTTTAATGTGTTCATGATACAAAGTTTTTTTTTTCAATTTCACAATTTTTTGATTCATTAAATAAAAAATGCAATAAAACTAAGACATTATTCAATGAGAAAAGCTTTTAAATGCTTTTATAAATGAGGTATATTAAGAACAAAAAGAAAAAAGTTTTTTTCAATGAATAATGAATTTTAAAAGAATTGTTTTCATTTTTTTAAATTTTAAATAGAATAATTTAAGATAATAATGTAAGTTTTAAAATTCAGTATTAATTTTACCCTTTTAGATGATATTATTATTAAGTAATAAACCCTAAGTCAGTACATAGCAAAAAGTTGCTGATCCCTGCTCAATCAATAAAGTCAGATAAAGAAGATGCAATATTTACTAATGTTTTTGGATGTTCATTCTCTTTATTTCTTTTTGTTTTAAATGTGTTCATGATACAAAGTTTTTTTTTTTTCAGCTTCACAATTTTTTGATTCATTAAATTTAAAATGCAATAAAACTAAGACATTATTTAATTAGAAAAGCTTCTAAATGCTTTTATAAATGAGTCATAATAATCAAGGGGATTGCAGTTTAGGGAGTTAGGTAGCCAGATGTAAGGGGTGATGTGGTTGCAGAAATTGTCTGACAGCCATGACTGGGTTCTCCTGCTTGTGTGGTATGGTGCAGTGTCCTGTTGCCAGACATAGGCTTTTCCAGCAGCCACCCTCTTGACCCAGAGCCGCACTACCACCTCAAGGCACTTGATGTAGGCCTCCATGTTGAGTCAGATATGTGGAGACATAAATTACTACTAAATGACAATTACTAAGAACATTTTTAATAAGGAAATTGTTAGTAATGTCCAGTAATTAGCAACTATATATAATATTAAGAACAGTCTTACAATTATTGACTTATTTCCAACTTTATTACCAATTTTTCAGTTACTAAGATAAAAAAATTTCTTCACTGATTTGTGACCAGTGCTGAAACATTAATATTCACCTTTTTGAAAGAGAAAAAAAATGTTGTATATATATAAATATATATATATATATATATGGTAGCATTCAAATTTTCAAAAAATTTAATTAAAAACACTGGAATACTTTCAGTAACTAAAAAAATCAACAGACTGAGTGAACAGCTGATTGTTTGATTTATAGTATGTAACTGCTCTGATACAAAATCCTGTAGCTCAATATTCTGATATAATTTTTTAAAAGTGAAGATTTTGTCCTTTTCTAGAAACTGTGCCAATTCATCATTTTGCACATTTCACACAGAAGCAGAAGTTTTATTAGTTAGTTTTGGTTAAGGAATAGGTAAATGATCAAATATTGATGGTTAATTTCTGGGTCATACTTTTCTTGTAAAAACCACTGTTTTATAATCAGATGGACAATACCTTTCACAGACATGTGTTTGGTTTGTCATAGGTGTTGTCTCCAGGCATTGCAGCTTTTTTACTCATTCCGATCTTGGGGAAGACAAAATACACAAACCATATTTTGTTCATCATAGTTACTATGACAACCTGCACTTCCAGACAATTTCAAGAAAGACTTTGAAATACTAAAATTAAAAAACATTAGCTAAACTAATATTTTGTAAAAATTACACATGATGCCTTGTTGTGTGATGCATATCAGCTTGGAATAAGTACTTGGAGAGATGAGTTTGAATTCGTGTTTGTTATATTCACTCACGTACAAATACCCTTGAGAAAGGTATTAATCCATCATATTGAGTAACAGGACAGGGTTCTTTAGTCTTAGTTGGCAGTCAGTCTACCACAAAAAGGAATGGCAACCTCCTGTGGGAAAAATTTTCTGCCTTGTCAGTCATGTATTGAAAGATACATGATTGCCTAAGCATGTATCTTGTGCTGCACTTAACTGTAACTGCTACTAAAAAGATCAAGAGGGTTTAAGATTCAGAATTAAGAATTTAAAGTTTGTATCAATGTGGAAATTTGCTATGCTACTTTCTGTAGTCTTTAAGAAAAAATCATGTGGTTCCAAATAATCTTCAAATTGTTTCACTGGTTAATTTTCTTTTACATTTTTAGCAACAAGAATGCTAGTAAAATTTAACATAAAATTTTTTTAAAAATACCTGTAAATAATAATTTTTTTAGATCCATATATTTGTTATGAAGAATAATATTATAGAGAAGATATTAATTTAAATTTATATTCAAATTTTTTCAAATACACAAATTTCTGTATCGTAATTTTGGAAAATTACCAGTACAAAAAGTTATTCACTTTCATGTTTTCTTACAAAGACATTTTCAGTATACGTCAAATGTTATAAAGAAAACACAAATTATTCCTTAAAAAATGAACTTTATAATCTAGCTATTCATTTATATAATAGCATAAAGAAAAAATTAAATTGACTTACTGTGACCAAATTCTTAAAAATGACATTTTTTGTGAATTTTTCTGTTTGAAACAATTGTAAAAAATATAAAAAAGAGAAAGACGATATTGATAAGACAAAAATATCTTCTCTTTTACAGTTGTAAAATATTAAATTTATTGAATCCAATTTTTGACATAACTTTTGTGGTAAATTCTTTAACAAATGTCAGTTTTCATTAACTTTTTTGCGGGGGGAATGTCTTCTATTTATTTTTAAATGACATAATTAGAAAAAAAATCCTGTTTTTTCTGTTAAAGAAAAACAAATTATTCATAAAAAAAATAGCTGTACACTTAATATCATGATTGTTGAAGAACAGTAGCATAGAAAAAAATATTCAATTTATGTTAATTGTTTGGGAGAAAATTCTTAATGGCACTTGAGAATTTCACACTGAAAATGTTTGTTTAAAGATAAAATATTGCAAGTTTAAATAAAATAAATAAACATAATATGAACTTCAGTAGCTTGAATAATAAACTTAAGTTAATCCAAAGGTAAAAAGCAAAAATTTCTTTAAGAAAAAAATTAATTACTTAATCCAATTCCAGCAACAAATTTTGCATGTGACCTGTTGGTCACTGAAGAGCTACACACACTAGAGATTTGGGTTAAGAATCACCTTGTACACAAGATATTCAAATTTTAGCATTGAATAACTAATGGTGGCAGATATACTGCTACACAAAAAAAAACAAAAAAAAAACATGAAACAGAATTCTCATCAAAAGAGTGCAATTAGAATGAAATAAGCAATGGAGTAACATAGATTTATTCAAATGAATGCAAGTATCATGAATCAGTCTGATGAACCATGAAAGAGGCTTCTCATCAATAGAGCTCATTGTAGAATTAGAGTGGAATAAGCAGAGGTGGAACATAGATTTATTCAAATGAATGCAAGTATCATGAATCAGTCTGATGAACCATGAAAGAGGCTTCTCATCAAAGAGCTCATTGTAGCAATTAGAGTGGAATAAGCAGAGGAGAAACATAGATTTATTCAAATGAATGAATGAATCAGTCTGAAGGCTTCTCATCAATAGAATCATTGTAGAATTAGATGGAATAAGCAGAGGAGCAACTTCTCATCATGAAGAGTCTCATTGAAAGAATTCAGTGGAATAAGCAGAGGAGCAACAGATTTATTCAAATGAATGCAAGTATCATGAATCAGTCTGATGAACCATGAAAGAGGCTTCTCATCAATAGAGCTCATTGTAGAATTAGAGTGGAATAAGCAGAGGAGCAACAGATTTATTCAAATGAATGCAAGTATCATGAATCAGTCTGATGAACCATGAAAGAGGCTTCTCATCAATAGAGCTCATTCAAATGAATAAGCAGAGGAGAGATTTATTCAAATGAATGCAGTATCATGAATCAGTCTGATGAACCATGAAAGAGGCTTCTCATCAATAGAGCTCATTGTAGAATTAGAGTGGAATAAGCAGAGGAGCAACATAGATTTATTCAAATGAATGCAAGTATCATGAATCAGTCTGATGAACCATGAAAGAGGCTTCTCATCAATAGAGCTCATTGTAGAATTAGAGTGGAATAAGCAGAGGAGCAAACATAGATTTATTCAAATGAATGCAAGTATCATGAATCAGTCTGATGAACCATGAAAGAGGCTTCTCATCAATAGAGCTCATTGTAGAATTAGAGTGGAATTCATAGATTTATTCAAAATGAATGCAAGTATCATGAATCAGTCTGATGAACCATGAAAGAGGCTTCTCATCAATAGAGCTCATTGTAGAATTAGAGTGGAATAAGCAGAGGAGCAACATAGATTTATTCAAATGAATGCAAGTATCATGAATCAGTCTGATGAACCATGAAAGAGGCTTCTCATCAATAGAGCTCATTGTAGAATTAGAGTGGAATAAGCAGAGGAGCAACATAGATTTATTCAAATGAATGCAAGTATCATGAATCAGTCTGATGAACCATGAAAGAGGCTTCTCATCAGCTCATTGTAGAATTAGAGTGGAATAAGCAGAGGAGCAACATAGATTTATTCAAATGAATGCAAGTATCATGAATCAGTCTGATGAACCATGGAGGCTTCTCATCAATAGAGCTCATTGAGAATTAGAGTGGAATAACAGAGGAGCAACATAGATTTAAATGAATGCAAGTATCATGAATCAGTCTGATGAACCATGAAAGAGGCTTCTCATCAATAGAGCTCATTGTAGAATTAGAGTGGAATAAGCAGAGGAGCAACATAGATTTATTCAAATGAATGCAAGTATCATGAATCAGTCTGATGAACCATGAAAGAGGCTTCTCATCAATAGAGCTCATTGTAGAATTAGAGTTGAATAAGCAGAGGAGCAACATAGATTTATTCAAATGAATGCAAGTATCATGAATCAGTCTGATGAACCATGAAAGAGGCTTCTCATCAATAGAGCTCATTGTAGAATTAGAGTGGAATAAGCAGAGGAGCAACATAGATTTATTCAAATGAATGCAAGTATCATGAATCAGTCTGATGAACCATGAAAGAGGCTTCTCATCAATAGAGCTCATTGTAGAATTAGAGTTGAATAAGCAGAGGAGCAACATAGATTTATTCAAATGAATGCAAGTATCATGAATCAGTCTGATGAACCATGAAAGAGGCTTCTCATCAATAGAGCTCATTGTAGAATTAGAGTTGAATAAGCAGAGGAGCAACATAGATTTATTCAAATGAATGCAAGTATCATGAATCAGTCTGATGAACCATGAAAGAGCTTCTCATCAATAGAGCTCATTGTAGAATTAGTGGAATAAGCAGAGGACATAGATTTATTCAAATGAATGCAAGTATCATGAATCAGTCTGATGAACCATGAAAGAGGCTTCTCATCAATAGAGCTCATTGTAGAATTAGAGTGGAATAAGCAGAGGAGCAACATAGATTTATTCAAATGAATGCAAGTATCATGAATCAGTCTGATGAACCATGAAAAGAGGCTTCTCATCAATAGAGCTCATTGTAGAATTAGAGTGGAATAAGCAGAGGAGCAACATAGATTTATTCAAATGAATGCAAGTATCATGAATCAGTCTGATGAACCATGAAAGAGGCTTCTCATCAATAGAGCTCATTGTAGAATTAGAGTGGAATAAGCAGAGGAGCAACATAGATTTATTCAAATGAATTTATTCAATGAACCATGAAAGAGGCTTCTCATCAATAGATCATTGTAGAAATGGAATAAGTAGAGGAGCAACATAGATTTATTCAAATGAAATCCAGTCTGATGAACCATGAAAGAGGCTTCTCATCAATAGAGCTCATTGTAGAATTAGAGTGGAATAAGCAGAGGAGCAACATAGATTTATTCAAATGAATGCAAGTATCATGAATCAGTCTGATGAACCATGAAAGAGGCTTCTCATCAATAGAGCTCATTGTAGAATTAGATTGGTGGAATGCAAGCATGAATCAGTCTGATGAACCATGAAAGAATCAATAGAGATTTAACATAGATTTATTCAAATGAATGCAAGTATCATGAATCAGTCTGATGAACCATGAAAGAGGCTTCTCATCAATAGAGCTCATTGTAGAATTAGAGTGGAATAAGCAGAGGAGCAACATAGATTTATTCAAATGAATGCAAGTATCATGAATCAGTCTGATGAACCATGATTTATTCAAAGAGGCTTCTCATCAATAGGAGCCTTCATTGCAGAATTAGAGTGGAATAAGCAGAGAGGAGCAACATAGATTTATTCAAATGAATGCAAGTATCATGAATCAGTCTGATAGAGGCTTCTCATCAATAGAGCTCATTGTAGAATTAGAGTGGAATAAGCAGAGAGCAACATGATTTATTCAAATGAATGCAAGTATCATGAATCAGTCTGATGAACCATGAAAGAGGCTTCTCATCAATTGCTCATTGTAGAATTAGAGGAATAAGCAAGAGGAGCAACATAGATTTATTCAAATGAATGCAAGTATCATGAATCAGTCTGATGAACCATGAAAGAGGCTTCTCATCAATAGAGCCCATTGTAGAATTAGAGTGGAATAAGCAGAGGACCAACATAGATTTATTCAAATGAATGCAAGTATCATGAATCAGTCTGATGAACCATGAAAAGAGGCTTCTCATCAATAGAGCCCATTGTAGAATTAGAGTGGAATAAGCAGAGGAGCAACATAGATTTATTCAAATGAATGCAAGTATCATGAATCAGTCTGATGAACCATGAAAGAGGCTTCTCATCAATAGAGTCTGGAATGAGACAACATAGATTTATTCAAATGAATGGTATCATGAATCAGTCTGATGAACCAAAAGAGGCTTCTCATCAATAGTGCTCATTGTAGAATTAGAGTGGAATAAGCAGAGGAGCAACATAGATTTATTCAAATGAATGCAAGTATCATGAATCAGTCTGATGAACCATGAAAGAGGCTTCTCATCAATAGTGCTCATTGTAGAATTAGAGTGGAATTAGAGGAGCAACATAGATTTATTCAAATGAATAAGTATCAGAATCAGTCTGATGAACCACAAGAGGATTTCATCAAATGAATAAGCAGAGGAGCAACATAGATTTATTCAAATGAATGCAAGTATCATGAATCAGTCTGATGAACCATGAAAGAGGCTTCTCATCAATAGAGCTCATTGTAGAATTAGAGTGGAATAAGCAGAGGAGCAACATAGATTTATTCAAATGAATGCAAGTATCATGAATCAGTCTGATGAACCATGAAAGAGGCTTCTCATCAATAGAGCTCATTGTAGAATTAGAGTGGAATAAGCAGAGGACCATAGATTTATTCAAATGAATGCAAGTATCATGAATTCTGATGAACCATCATCAATAGAGCTCATTGTAGAATTAGAGTGGAATAAGCAGAGGAGCAACATAGATTTATTCAAATGAATGCAAGTATCATGAATCAGTCTGATGAACCATGAAAGAGGCTTCTCATCAATAGTGCTCATTGCAGAATGAGAGTGGAATAAGCAGAGGAGCAACATAGATTTATTCAAATGAATGCAAGTATCATGAATCAGTCTGATGAACCATGAAAGAGGCTTCTCATCAATAGAGCTCATTGTAGAATTAGAGTGGAATAAACAGAGAGGAGCAACATAGATTTATTCAAATGAATGCAAGTATCATGAATCAGTCTGATGAACCATGAAAGAGGCTTCTCATCAATAGAGCTCATTGTAGAATTAGAGTGGAATAAGCAGAGGAGCAACATAGATTTATTCAAATGAATGCAAGTATCATGAATCAGTCTGATGAACCATGAAAGAGGCTTCTCATCAATAGAGCTCATTGTAGAATTAGAGTGGAATAAGCAGAGGAGCAACATAGATTTATTCAAATGAATGCAAGTATCATGAATCAGTCTGATGATGAACCAGAATGAGAGTGGAATAAAGAGGCTTTCATCAATAGAGAATCATTTGCAGAATCAATAGAGAGTGGAATAAGCAGAGGAGCAACATAGATTTATTCAAATGAATGCAAGTATCATGAATCAGTCTGATGAACCATGAAAGAGGCTTCTCATCAATAGAGCTCATTGTAGAATTAGAGGAATAAGCAGAGGGCAACATAGATTTATTCAAATGAAGTATCATGAATCAGTCTGATGAACCATGAAAGATTCAATAGTGCTCATTCAAATAGAATGGAATAAGCAGAGGAGCAACAGATTTATTCAAATGAATCAAGTCATGAATCAGTCTGATGAACCATGAAAGAGGCTTCTCATCAATAGAGCTCATTGTAGAATTAGAGTGGAATAAGCAGAGAGCAACATAGATTTATTCAAATGAATGCAAGTATCATGAATCAGTCTGATGAACCATGAAAGAGGCTTCTCATCAATAGAGCTCATAGAATTAGAGTGGAATAAGCAGAGGAGCAACATAGATTTATTCAAATGAATGCAAGTATCATGCAACATGATGATTCAAGAAAAGATCATAATCAGTCATGAGAGCTCATTGTAGAATTAGAGGAATAAGCAGAGGAGCAACATAGATTTATTCAAATGAATGCAAGTACCATGAATCAGTCTGATGAACCATGAAAGAGGCTTCTCATCAATAGAGCTCATTGTAGAATTAGAGTGGAATAAGCAGAGGAGCAAATGAATATGATTTATTCATTGTAGAAAATGAATGCAAGATTTATTCAAATGAATGAATCATGAATCAGTCTGATGAACCATGAAAGAGGCTTCTCATCAATAGAGCTCATTGTAGAATTAGAGTGGAATAAGCAGAGGAGCAAATATAGATTTATTCAAATGAATGCAAGTATCATGAATCAGTCTGATGAACCATGAAAGAGGCTTCTCATCAATAGAGCTCATTGTAGAATTAGAGTGGAATAAGCAGAGGAGCAACATAGATTTATTCAAATGAATGCAAGTATCATGAATCAGTCTGATCAAAAGAGGCTTCTCATCAATAGAGCTCATTGTAGAATTAGAGGAATAAGCAGAGGAGCAACATAGATTTATTCAAATGAATGCAAGTATCATGAATCTGATGAACCATGAAAGAGGAACCATGTAGAAAGAGGAATTCAACATAGATTTATTCAAATGAATGCAAGTATGTGAATCAGTCTGATGAACCATGGAATAAGCAGAGGAGCATAGATTTATTCAAATGAATGCAAGTATCAGAAATGATGAACCATGAAAGAGGCTTCTCATGGAATTGTAGAATTAGAGTGGAATAAGCAGAGGAGCAACATAGATTTATTCAAATGAATGCAAGTACCATGAATCAGTCTGATGAACCATGAAAGAGGCTTCTCATCAATAGAGCTCATTGTAGAATTGAGTGGAATAAGCAGAGGAGCAACATAGATTTATTCAAATGAATGCAAGTATCATGAATCAGTTTGATGAACCATGAAAGAGGCTTCATCAATAAAGCTCATTGTAGAATTAGAGGGAATAAGCAGAGGGCAGCATAGATTTATTCAAATGAATACCATGAATCAGTCTGATGAACCATGAAAGAGGCAATTGCAGAATGAGAGGAATAAGCAGAGAGCAACATAGATTTATTCAAATTGAATCAGTCTGATGAACCAATCATTGTAGAATTAGAAATAATTCAAATGAATGCAAGTACCATGAATCAGTCTGATGAACCATGAAAGAGGCTTCATCAATAGAGCTCATTGTAGAATTAGAGTGGAATAAGCAGAGGAGCAACATAGATTTATTCAAATGAATGCAAGTATCATGAATCAGTCTGATGAACCATGAAAGAGGCTTCTCATCAATAGAGCTCATTGTAGAATTAGAGTGGAACAAGCAGAGGAGCAACATAGATTTATTCAAATGAATGCAAGTATCATGAATCAGTCTGATGAACCATGAAAAGGCTTCTCATCAATAGATTTGTTCATAGAATAGAGCTGGAATAAGCAGAGGAGCAACATAGATTTATTCAAATGAATGCAAGTATCATGAAAACATCAATAGAGCTCCTGAATAAGCAACCATAGATTTATTCAAAGAAGGTATCATGAATCAGTCTCATGAAAGCTTTCTCCATCAAGGGGCTTCTCATCAATAGAGCTCATTGTAGAATTAGAGTGGAATAAGCAGAGGAGCAACATAGATTTATTCAAATGAATGCAAGTATCAT